GGATGGCGGCGACAGGTTCGCCCTTCCCCATCCACCGGTCCTCGGCCAGCACGCCGTGCGAAGAGGCGGACTCGCCGGCCTCCACTGACCTCATCGATCCACTTCCCTCCGCGTGGAAAGGGAAGGGCCCCTGCACGGATGGGTGGCCACTCGTCAGCGTGTCCTCGTCCTCCAGGACGCCCCAATCCACGTCGACGGCTACCTCGTCGTCGTCATCATCATCATCATCATCATCGTCATCCTCACTACTCACGTCCTCTCCCCGATCCCGTGCCTCCTGCTTCAGTCGTTTCGCCTTCTTCATCTCCTCCTTTGCCTTCTTGTCCCGCTCGGCCGCGAGTCGATTCGCCGCCGCCACAACCTTGTCCTTCGGCAGCGGGACTGGGCTATCCTTGAAGACTAGCCTCCTCGGCTAGCCCCAACATTACAGAAGCAAGTGTTAAAAGAGGGAGATTCAGGAGAAAGAAAAGAATGCGGGAGAAGAGGGCTTACGAATTCGAAGAACCCAGGCTCCGGCCGCATTGGAGGATGCCCGGGCACCGGATACACGATGTCGAGGACCCTGCCGGCGGAATCCTTCGTCGGCTCCGTCGCCTCCTTGACACGCTTACGCCACTTCCGAATAAGGGAGCGCCTCATCAACGAAGAGCACCGTCCTCAAACGACATCCTGGCGTCATCCGATCACGAGGGAAGCACACGCGCCCATCGGTGGCGCCACCCTCCTCAGCGTGGTAGGCACCGATAATCCCGACCCTTTACACCCCGACCCTTCAGTGCATGGAGGGCGGAGAGAAGGTCGAGATGTGCTTCTTGTCTTTAGTCTGGGCGCCCACCCCCTGACGCCGGGGCATCCACAATAAGGCGTCCGGTGTACTTGGTGGGGTGGCACTCACATCATCCCTAACATAAAACCATCTGCGAATGCCATCCCTTGTTGGATGTAGCCGGGCGCGTATGTCACGGTAACCCTTCGATCGGGTATGGCGCGGTGAATCTTTGGCACACCCCATCGGGCGCGTCCACTTCTTTCCCCCAATCTTCCTCTTGACGGACTAACGCTAAAGAAATACCGCCACAGATCAAAATGGGGATCGATCCCGAAACCCTCGCCTGACAGGGCAAACGAAGCGCCGCCATATGTCTTTGAATCCCATTGGGAGTGAGATCTCGCAGCTCTACCTCATAGAAATCTAATAACCCCCGAAGAAATCTATGCGCGGGTACCCCGAATCCCCGCTCATGGAAGATGGCAAAGGAGACGACATACCCTTCAGGCGGCACCGGCTCACCCTCGTCGCCGGGGAGCAACCACTCCTGGACGGCGGATAGTGGGCGGAGAAGGCCACGGCGGACGAGGCCCTCCAGACGCCGGGAAGTGATGCTTGATCTGCCCCACAACTCCATTGAAGCAGGAGGGGGGAAGGGCAGGCGTGAGCTTAACGGCGGCTGAAACACAAACACAGGCCGGTCGACGGTGGCGATGCGGGCGCAAGAGGCTGGGAAGATTGGCGGCGGATGTTTCAGAACGCAAAGGAAGGGGAGTGAAACACGGGACCCTGGGGGCGAACCCCGCGGTTTTATAGGGGGCGACGGACGCGAGAAGGGCAACCGCCCGCCTCGATCTCCGGGTCTGCCACGCACGCCACCGCGTCACGTCGTGGGACACGCGCCCGCGGTCCCTATCCTCTCATCCCAAAAAATCTCGGTGGACGGTTCGCCTTCCCCAAGCGAATCCGGACTCTCCACCCACCTGGGAAGCACAAGCCACAAAGGCCCGTTTCTTTTCTCTTTGGCCCACCTAGGGCCCAGCAACTCGCCGGCCGGCCTAACTAAGAAGGAATCTACGAACAAACCGCCACCAAGGGCAGAAGCACCGGTGAGGACGGCCCCGAATCAGTCCCCAGTAAACGGGACGCCACGACCCACTCAGAAAAACACCCTCCAGGCGGTTCTACCCGAATCACCTGGAGTCTCGGGGGCTACTGTCGGGGACCTAATACCAGGGTACCCCAGAAGGTGGAACCGATGACCACCGAACGTAAAAAACTTCTAGATGCATAAGGGCTCCATGTCATCCCTTGTTCGAGTGACAGGAGTTCGGTTCCGCCTCGCCCGACGCCTTGAGGGCGGGCTCGGTCTCGCCCGAGGGCTGAGGGATGAATTCCGTCTCGCCCGACGCCGGAGGGGCGGGGTCAGCCTTACCCGACGCCTTGGAAGGATAACCCTGCCTCGCCCCAAAAGCTCAAGGCTAATCTCCGTCTCGCCCGACGCCTATAGGGCGGGCTCGGTCTCGCCCGAGGGCCGAGGGATAAACTCCGCCTCGCCCGACGCCTTGAGGGCGGGCTCGGTCTCGCCCGAGGGCTGAGGGACGAATTCCGTCTCGCCCGACCCCGGAGGGGCGGGGTCAGCCTCACCCGACGGCCCAGAACGAGCCTCGCCCTGATCGATATCTATCCCTCATAATGATGGGTGCAGGACGAGACAAGACGTTCGGGTCAACCATGGCTCCAACGACCATACCTGCGCCTGGCGAGAAAAGGACCGCCGAGGCGACAGGACTAAAGCTTTAGACCCTTTCGGGCGCCGCAGAGCCCAAAAGGTATTACAGGTGCGTGCACCTCACCCTGTAGAGTTGTAGGCGCCGCCTTCAGCTCTGGGACACGGAACCCGACGAAGATATACGACAACCGCTACGATCCAGGAAAGGATTTGCTATCTCCACGAACGATGGGTATTCCGTCACCACACGTTGGACCCGAGGGAGCGGCGCCCACTTCCCGACCCCTCAGGTCCTCCCAGTCAGAAGGCCTTGACCACGGCGTTACACCGGACCCCGACCCCGTATTCTCCCAACGAGGACTCATGAGAACCAGAAGGCGTGCGGAGCAAGGCTGGGGGAGGCTCATAAGTCAAAACCAACATCTTTGCAGCCCATACCTGCAGCGAGGCAACGATTCGTGACTAACCTGACATCCTGCAGAGACATCGACAACATTGTAAACACTTATCTTCCTTCGCACTCATCAGGGTGGAGGACCTGACCAGGTAGACGTGAGCCACGAGACTAAGTAGAGTACGCGTCCTGGAGCCCTTACCCTTGTAAAGCCGGCCCCTTCGTCTATAAAAGGGGAGGCGCTTCTTCTATCAGAGGGGAAAAAAAGAAAGGAGAGGATAAAAACAATAGAACGCACTCACACACATTCAAGCAACTACGAAGCTCTCGACCACCTTTCAATCCTTCGATCAGAGACTTGGGACCAGTCCTCTCTCGGCGGTTTGTATCCCTTACTACGAGATCGTTACGGTGCTAATAACACAAGCGACAACAAAGCCCCGAACGTGGGGACGTTTTCGCCCAAACCAAGATAAATCCTGTGTCCTTTAGCGCACCATCCGAGCCTAACGCGCATTACTATAAATTCACTTGCGGTGCTTGTATGAAACACCGACACAATGCTCATAGGGTGGGGAGTGGCGATACAAATCGTCTTGATAAATTTTGGCACCACGAGTTCTGGCGAGGAGTATAGCTCAGGAGTTTGACGATTGAGGGTTCGTTCCTACGCTTCGAGTTTGGCGATCTTATCTTCAAGTCATTACGATTGAATGCTACTTTTGATTCCGCCAATGCGCGTATGTAATAATTTATGTAATTCCGCACTATTTGTACTATGATATTATCGTTGTATGGATGTGATATTCGACTGGAATTTGGGTAATATGATCTACAACGGTCTTATTACACTTCGATTCTGTGGATTTCCCTTCGTGGAAATCAGGTCGCTTCAACATACCTCCCCATGAACCCCCCCCCCCATCTGGGCCTTTCCCCGCGCACACCTCACTCTTCCCCTCCTCACCACATGTGCTTCCATAGCATGTAGGTGTAAGGGACGGCTTGGGGGTGGTGCGGTCGGCAGAGACGAGGTTGTGCGCTTTGTTGCCCAGCGTGTGGGCGTTGGAAAGCACGATGAGGTCTTGATATTGAGGCCCTTGGTGGCGAAGGCCTAGTCTATGAGGTCAATGTCACTATGGGAGTATGGGTGTGTTTAGTTCTCTTTCAATCCGTAGCATGGCTAGCCTTATAAGCCAGTACAACATGGGCTTGTTTGGTTGATTGGTCTACTCTCCTTAACTTCTGGCTTTTGGCTTCTGGGAACTTTTGGCTGTTGAAAGGTTCCAAAGGTGAGGTCCAAAGGCTCCTATGAAGCTGAAACAAATAGGGCCGAAGTGTTTAAATGTTTTTATAGGTCATTGAATGCTTATGTAGATAAGTACATAGAGGTCATATCTTCTTTCACTGAGTTCTCTACACATCACATATCTAGGCGAGAGAATGTTAAAGCCAATAGTTTAGCACAAGCATCTGATTATGATATTTGTGAGCAGTTCCAGATTGTAAAAAGTTCATACTTAGAAGTGTTTGATGTATATAATCTGGACAAAACGGACTGTCTGGTTGCTGGAAACCGGATGGAACGGTACGGTAGGTGACACCAGATGGTCCTGTGTTAACACATTCATCCCTACCACCTCCATATAAGCGCCATCCTGAAGACACCTAGGGTGTCAAGTCTACACACGTCCATCCCTGCTACCTTCATATAAACGCCATCCTGTAGGCACCCAGCGATTGTTCTCATTAACGCCTCGTCACCCATCGGCTCGCCTCCCCTCTGGCTCTCCTCAACAGCGAGGTCGCCCCACTGCCACAACGATCCAACCCTTGCAATCTAGATGCTGATTAATCAGATTGTATTCATTTTACTTGCCACTACTCACAGCATTGGCATCGTAGAGCTGTTTCGCATCAGTTGTATACGCTGCTTGGCATTGTGTGGAGATAAACTGCTTATTTCTCTGATTGTTTTTGTAGATATCATACACAATTATTGACAAGGAAACTACTTCAGTCTCAGATAATCTTTGTCCTACAATTGATACAAGAGATACATATTAGAAGCTTCATGATCTCGTAGAGAAACATTTCTGAATGTATCAGAGCCTTGATGCTGCTGAGGAGCCCATTACAATCATCACTTTGCCAACCGCCTTCCTATCTCTCAGGGCAGAGAAAGCAAGATGGGCCTGTGGAAAATAACACCCCAAAATATAATTGACACAGATTACATATACGCCAAAGCTCGACCACAATCAATTTCTTATAATGAAAGTTGAACACATGCAATCATTTGCCAAGTATATTCAAGCAGAATGACTTAAACACATATATTCTCTTATCAGAGATGATTGGTGTACATGCAATTAAATCTGGTTTGAAGCAATTTAATAAAGGGAAAAGTCCATTTTTGTCATCCAACTATTGCCCGAGTTTGTTTTTTCGACATGCAACTCTGAAACCAGAAAGCTTTGACCACCGAACTATCAATACCACACAAATTTGGCCATCTAGTTTGTAACAAAAGGTAGTTTTGTATTTTCTGAAAATAACAGAACTGGATTTAAAAAAAAATCAAATTCATTTTAAATAAGAAACATATGAAACCAGTAATAAAATGTTTTTAAAAGTATTATCTATCTATTGGTCCTCTATTTGAATTTATTGGTAGTTTATCTGCTCCTATTCCTATTGTTTTATTACTTGTAGTCATGTTCGTTACTTATTTAAAATCATCATTTTTGCACTATATTATACCCGAGATTGACCAAGAAAAATCATGGCAGACTACGAGTAAATAGAAGATCTTCAAGACGACACCAACCACGCAGGTGCCATGCTCCAGATATAGATCACATTTAGCCATTGTAACTAAATACGGCATCACGGGCCCTAAATAATTTGATTAATTTAACCAACATATTCCGTACTCTATTTTGTGTCTTGATTCTGTTAGTCAATCACTAGGCTTAATATAGCCCAAAATGATGACTTAAATAAATAACAAGTATGACCAAGAGCAATAAAACACTAGGAACAACTACAAATAAGACCTAAATAAATCCAAATCTAGCACCGATAGACACATTATATTTTTAGAAAGAAAAAAAAATGACACTGGTTTCATTTTTTTATGACTTAAAACGTGCTAGTTATGAATTTTTAGAAATAAGTCAGTTTTTGTAATTTCCAGATAATACAAAATCACCTTCCAAACTAGTTAGATGGCCAAACTTATCCAGTATTGATAAGTTCAGTGGTCAAAGATTTCTGATTTTAGAGTTGCATGGCCAAAATCAAACTTGGGCAATAGTTCAATGGTCAAAAATGGACTTTTCTCTTTAATAAAATGCCCATACTTATTCATTCAAATGGAGAACAGATGTTGTTTAGATAGTATGCTCCAGCTGCATAGCAATACAACGCTAACATGTGAATAGATGCTTTTACAAGTATAATGAAGAGCAATTTTGACTCTAGGAAACAACATGATACCAAAGTACTCCCTCCATTCCAAATTGTAGTCGTTTTGGCTTTTCTAGGTATGTGACTTTTGATATGCATCTAGATGTATATTATGTCTAGATACATAATAAAATCTATGAATCTAGAAAGGCCAAAACGACTTACAATTTGGAATGGAGGGAGTAACTAACAACAGATACGGCAATATGGCAGTACAAATGTACAATGGTGTGAACAGTACATGTGTAACAAGTTAGACCACCCTGGTTCAAAACAAGCTCATGAGATACATTAAGTGTTGCCGTCAATACAAGTTGTTGCCTTTGGGCCATGCCATCTCAAACATGATAGCCGCTAAATGTTGCTTAGTTGCTTACCTCAACAAGTCTGTAGCGGTGTGAAATTTGAACTTTTATCAGACCTTTTGAAAGCCATGACAAGAGTTCATTGAGGGAATCAATGAGTACTCGTGGTCGATGAGTTAAGTAGCTTCCCCAGTACAAACCATGAACTGTCCAGTTCTGAAACAGCACAAGACCATGGTCAGTTGTTTCTTCTTTTGGAGAAATTAGTTAGTGATTTCAATACGCATAATTTGTGAATCAAATAATTGTATCATCAGTACATCCTTGTTTCAGAAGTTTCCCTTCACTGCTTAGATAAGCAATGTTATTCAGCAGTACTACCTGTTTCCCCTTATAACAACTTCAAATTCAGTACATGCATCTTCAACTAACTGGTTACATATTTTCTTATTTCCCGCCAACAATCATTCTGGTGCAGGCAGCATTACTTTTAATTGATTACATGATTAGTTTTCAAATTGCTCACATGTAAATTTGTAATAAGTCCCATAATTCAGAATCCACTATTCAATTTAGAAAGAAAAATGACAGTACAAATTCTAGAGATGTATGTCAGAATCACAAATTCTAAGAATTTAACCAACATAAACAGGGCATGTAGCCCAAGTGCTGAAAGCCAAATTATATTATAGAAAAATCTGAATAATCACATTCTTAATATTTTTATGCATAAGCGCACCTTAACAAGAGCAATATTCGCTCGAATAACTGGAACATCACCACTGGCAAATCCGATGACAAGAATGTGCACACCCCAATTGAGAAGTTTCAGGCTATCCTGAGTTAGTTTCCCCCCGACTGGGTCATATAAAACATCAACACCTTTCAAGCCTCTAGCCTTTAAGAAGGACTTGGCACTTTCTACAACATTATCCTTGCTTGAGTCAATTACATGATCGGCTCCTATGGACTTGAGATATTCCGATTTCTCAGCCCCCCTGAAGTCAAAGAGAAGGTATAGTAGACAATAGACACCAAACACTACCATATTGTGAAATAGTTATCTCATCGTGTTAATCACCTAGCAATTGCAATAACAACAGAACCACAAACTTTTCCTATTTGCACAGCAGATACCCCGACTCCACCAGCAGCACCAAGAACAAGTAGCACCTGAAATTACAACAATCAAATGAGAAGGAATGAAGTACTGGAACACAAAGGTCAAGTTGTTGCTTATGTCCTTCCGACCTTCCGTTTATATGTATCAAGGGTATATAAATGTCTCACAACTGTTAAAACAAGTAACACGTAATAAGCATCACAACAAACCTTGGTGAACTAATATTAGGTGATGTGGAAGACATTAGTTCCCTCAACTACAGAAGGAGACAAATCCTACGAATGCCTATTAACAATAGTAGAAGATATAATAATAATATAAAATATGCATAATTTAATAGCACATGAACTATCGCCCTGCTTGGCTGCCCTTTTGTAGGAGCAGCTGCAGCTGTGGCTGCTTTGAATACTACAGTAACTGCAGGCGCAGCGCTGATGCAGCAAGCACTTCCGATCAGGTATGTTTATAGAAATCAAAATGCCATTGTGTCAATGATATAAATGCATACTGTATGGATAACCTCAGGTATACACTACAAAACTTCAAGTATACACCTTGACTAGTATGTTACTATGTTGTCTTACAGAATAATAATCATAATACACAGAATTATAATCCCTTGGTTCCAAATGTGGTTTATGATAGCATGGACGTTAGATAGCAAATTTAATCTAGTAAAATATTCTGAGATGTATTTCCTGCTGAGAGTTATTATCAAAAATGCCCAACAGACTTGTTTTTTCTTGTCTAGCTGTTTGGGACTTGTTTTGTGGAGAGGAGAATTGAGAGTGGAGCAGTAGTTTAGAGGTAGTGTCGTTTGTGCTCCTTTTTTGTCTCAACTTCGTTGTGAGCTGGCAATCCCAGAGCTAGACCATTTGAATCCTGTTTAAGTTTTTGAATAAAGCCAGCAGATGCCTTTGGTCTAAAAAATGCGGAAAACACATCACATCACATAGAAGAAAGGAAACCTGGCCAGCCTTCAATTGGGCTCGGTGAACAAGGGCCAAATGTGATGTACCAAATGCAACAGGTAAAGCCCCAGCTGTGACCAGATCGCATCCATCAGGCACTAAAAATCTGATTCAGAAAAACATGACATCGATTTAGCATATCTCATAAAAGGAACAAAATAATCATTACATAACTACCACATCATTTTTTTTTCTATTCCATACATACATTTACATCACACAGATGTGATGTCAGTAATTCAGTTTGAACTGTTAATGCTAAGCACAGTCATTATGCATGTATGCATTATTAAGATAAAAGATATATCCTTAACGAGAATGTGTAGATTAACAGGGAGTCTACTTGTGATATTCAGCTGATGGAAATGCTGAACTGAAAAAGTAACAAAACCAAATAGGGAATAGAAGACATCCACTACAAGATTAGCAGCATCCACTTTTGAGAAAACCACAAGAAGATTCGACACAAATTCAGCTGGTGGACAAATCACTTGCATTTCACGTCAAACAGCACTAACATGGCCACCTCCTCTACATTGGAAAATAAAAATACACTTCCTTTCCAACTTACAGGAATAAATCAACAAAAAACAGCAATACAGAAAAGCAACACTAATCTGAATGGTTATTATTTCTTGACAACAGAGTATGGTGCCTGCATTTTTTTTATTTTATTATTAGCATGTATGGCTGAGAAATGCATTATCCGTTTATCTGTACAACGTCCAGTTAACATGAGATTTACCGATTTCAAAAAACAGCAAATATTTATGCTCCTGAGATCCCCATCCACACCTAAAGTCACCTCAATCAAACAGAAAAAGAAATCCGAAAGGAATTATAGCACAATTAAGAACTCACAGCTGCTTCTCCTCGGCGACGATGAAGTCAGCGAAGGACCCGAGGCCGGTAAAGGAGCAGACGCGGTCGCCGGGCCGGAGCCCACGCACACCGGGCCCGACTGCGTCGACCACTCCAGAGTAGTCGGATCCAGGCACGAACGGCAGCGGGGGGCGCTCCTGGTACTTGCCCTGCACCTGGAGGAAATTGGCGAAGTTGAGGCTGGTCGCCGCGACTCGCACTCGGACTGCTGTTCGCGACGAGATCTCCGGCACCGGGTGGTCCCCAGAGACCGCGGCGAACGGGGAGGCTTCGCCGCCGGGGGGGCAGCGTGGGGTCGCCCAGCCGCCGCACCACGAGCGCCTCCATGTATTTGGTTTGTCAAGGTCAGTAGGTGAGATGATACTCTTGACTTCTTGTCTTAGGAAAACGAATAGACGATGACGCTATTTTTTTTTTTTTTGAGGGGAGAGACGATGACGCTAATGGGCCTTCTCGTTCTAGCTTTGGGCTGTCGCACAAGCAGTTTTTTTACCGTTCCTAACGGCCCAATATTCTCATTTTCTATTTATACGTTGTTGGAGAATGAGCGATTTTTGTTTGAACGAGGGTTTTAAAATGATTGTTGGAGATGCTCTAAAAACAATTCCAATGCTGAAATCAACCAGTAATTTTCATACAAGACATCACAAGTACTCCATCCATTCCAAATTATAAAATGTTTTAGCATTTTAGACACATACAGCGTGTTTGGATTGCGGAAGGACCACGTCCGGCACAAACTCATCGGGCATGGACCCATTCCTAGCAGGTTCGGATAATTACGTGTGCACGTTTGGTTTGATCACGGACCATGTCGTCCGATGGTTTTGGGAGGGATGGGGCAGCGACGCATTTATACAAGGAAAGGAATGGGTTGATGACGAACGAATCCATCCTGTGACCTGAACCGAACGCCAGCGCCAGGCTTGGATGTAGGTTCGGATCATTCCCCAGCAGGTCATCCGGCAAACCAAACACACCGATAAAATTTGATATGTATCTGGATATACACTTGTATCTTAGATAGTAAAATCAATGCATATAGAAAATCAAAAAATTATTAATGGAGGAAGTAGAAATCATCGTACCGTATGTATCAATGGATTGATTTGATAAAAAACATAGGATAACAGGTATGTACCAAGAGAAAAGGTCTTACAAGTAGTTACTAATAAAATTGAAGTTGGAGTTGAAGTTGTTACCAAAATTTGTGGAATTGATTTCGATTGATACTCCCTCAATCATGTAATATAAGGAATCTAGAGTTCAAATTTTGTACCAATGGAGTGTTTTGGGACTGCTCCACTCCACGTTTTTTAGTCAAACAGGTTCAGCTCCACGTAACTCTGCTCCAGGAAAAAAGTGGAGTTATGAGAGCACCTATAGAGGTGCTCCACAAACTCTAGTTTTTTTGTGGAGCTGCTCCATGGCCGAGTTTGTGGAGCTAAGTTTGTGAACCTGTCTCAAATACCCCCCCCCTTAAAATACAAGGTATTCTACGTCCTCAAGCCCCTCTCTCCTCTATCTTTTTTTAGAAAATATTAGCGTCATCCAAAACAACCCGCATTAATTAAGGAAAATAGCAACTGACCTACTCCCTCTATCCTAATTAGTAAGGGGCAAGGTGGTCTTTTGTCAACCTCCTTTTTTTGAGGGAAACAGGAGGGGGTGCCCCCCTACTGTGCTTTTATTAAAATTTAAATAAAAGGGATACCATTCTCCTACAAAGTTCCTCAAGAAACAAAGAAGGAAACAAATTTTTTTGAAAAACTACACATAAGCTTCTAGCCATTGGGTAAACAACGGTGCTAAGCTGTTTTTTGCTCTAAGAATAACTTGGGCAAATTCTCATTTGAAGATGGACTTGCAGTGAAGAATTGAGGGCTGCACTTGCTTGAAAATAGCATCATTTCTAACAATCCAGATAGACCAGCTCATTGTTACAATAATCTTCATGAAAAAAGGAAGTTGCTGGTTTTTAAAGGAGCCTTTGCAAGTTCTTGCTAGTGGTCTACCATTTGAGTATCTAACCTCCCAAACAAGATATACCCAAGGGATGTCCAATCTGTTAAAAAACCTATGCATGTTTACCATAAAATCGTTTGAATCTCTTATATTACAGCTTATATTACAAGGAGAGAGGTCAGAGGGTCAGAGAGTGTATATATTATATAGTTTGGATGAAGAGGCAAGAGTTTGGTAAGAGGCGACCTAGATATATCTCTTTTCTTTTTCTGGCTGAAGTCCATGTCTCCTACAACATGTCTCCCTCGCCCCTACAGCATTCCGAACCGACACCTCACGCGTCCACCCCCCAGAAAAATGCTTCCCTCTCTTTATTAGTTTCCGGTTTATCCGCTGCTAGCTTCGAATCGAATCTGATAATTCATACGGTTGCCGAAATTAAACCAAGCACGCGACAAGCTCTTCTGTATCTATATCTCCTACAATTAAAAAGAATAAAGTGTGAATATTTTTTGGTGTGACATTTGTTTTGGTTCGTCCGTCTGTCTACGCCTGCGATCCCACGACATCTTAATTACTGATTGATCGTGTCATTCTACTCAGTGGCGGATCTAGGATTTTGCTTTAGGGCATGCCAGCCAAAATTTTCATATATAATTCGGTAAAACCATTTAATAATTCGGTAAGAAATATGAATTTGTAACATATAATCAATATGCGTGAACTAAAAGTACACGATAAGTCTTCAATTTGGAGATTTAATTGAAACCATCCATAAAATATACAATATAAACAGCTAAAACAATATATTGTTACAAATATAGAGAAAACTCAATGATATTAGATAGGATTAAAAAAAGAGAAAAGAGTAGAGATTGAACCTCATTTCGGTGGCCGGCAATCGGGCTGGGAGTCGTTAATCGCGGAAGCGCAGGTAGCACCAGAGCAGCCTAGGCGGAACGTGGATATGTTGATCTCGATGTTGGGTACTTGCAGCTTGGCCTGAATGCCAGTGCAGATTCATCAATTCGAGACTGCGGGCAAAGACTCCATTGCAGAGTCATTCTGAAGTCTGAATCTTCAATACCTTCGATCGATGCCAGAACGAACGAGGCTACGATGGTTGGGCAGCAGCCGGCAGGCATCTTTCCCATCGATGAAGGGAGCCACCACAGCACCACGACCTCGATCACGAACGGCTGGAAGCCAAGGCGGCTGGAAGACGAGACATGAGAACCCTCCTGACCTCCCGTCATGTGGCCGCATGCACGTGGGCCTAAAAGGCCGTCATGTGATGTGGCCTCGTGCCTGCGTCACCACGTGGGCCTGAAAGGCCGTCGAGGTCGCAAAGCAGCCGACATGCGCGTTGTTCGATTGACTTTGCTTACAAATATATGTATACATATACTATGCATACAGGTTGCACAGGGTATGCCGGTGCATACCCGGCATACCCTGTAGCTCCGCCACTGATTCTACTTGATTGAATATTGCCTGTCATGTGATAGAGAAAATTATTGTGCTATCCATATACACATTGCATGTTTGCATGCACCAGTATATATGGCAACGAGCAAAAGGAAAGAGAATTAACACAGAAGGAAAGAGAATTAAGACAAAAGGAAACTCTTTGCATTTCTGAGAACCTTACCAAATATGCCTACATTTAATTACTTCCCCTCTTTGCATTTGCAAAAGGGACAACTTTTTTCTCATTTCATTTGGTTTCACGCCCTCGCTTGCTGTTTCTTGCGTGAACCATAGTTGATGTCATCTGTCTTCCATGGCTCAGCCTCCCAATCCCAAGAGAAGGTCCCTACCCCCCTCTGACGGGAGATCCGGCCTGCCAGAGGATCTCCTCGAGTCCATCGGGCAGTGTCTCGCGTCAGGGCACGACGCAGCGTCCTTCCGATCCGCTTGCTCCCCATGGCGCGCCGCCGTCCAGTTCGCGACCTTCGGGCCGCTCCTGCTGCTCCCGTTCGACTCCGACTCGGACCACGTCGGCTTCTACTGCGTCCCGGAGAAGAAGGTCTTGTCCAAGACGCTGCCTGACGTGCGCGGCAAGGTGGCGTGCGGCTCCTCGTGTGGGTGGCTGGCGCTCATGGACGAGGCGGCATCCGTGACGCTGTTGAATCCATTCGCCGGTGCCCGTGCCCCCCGCGTTGAGCTCCCGCCAGCAGACGAACACGTCGCGGCAAGCTCTTGTATATCTATATCTATTAATAAAGAGGCAAAATTTCAGCCTCTTTTTTGTCTGGGCTTTTTTCATCTGGCCCATTCATTCATCCAATTGTTCGGTCACTGACTTCCTTTCGGCCCACTCGCAGCCCACTCGGCCCCGATGCCCCCGCCCCCGCCCTCGCTCCTCCCGCGCCGCCATTCTCCCCGCCCTCGCCGTCGCAACCGCGCGGGCGCCTCGAGGCCGCCCCCGCGCCACGGCCGTCCTCGCCCTCGCAACCTCGCCGTCGCTGCCTGACCTTGCCGTCGCTGTCGTTCTCGCCGTGAGGCAGGCAGCCAGGATCTGCGCGTGACACGGCTGGGATCCGTTGGTCATCGCGCCTAATCCCAGGCCGTGGTAAGCCCCTCCCCTCTCCTTGTCCCTGTCCTTTCCCTCACCCTCATTGTTTCTCCCTCTCTCGCAGATGCGCGTCGTCCTCTATGAAGCAGCAGGTCAAGCTGGGGTGCAGACGAGGAAGCCGATGTCCTCTCCCGGCGGTCCTTGGTGGCTCCATGGAGGGATCCCGGGGGCGTTGCGGCCGGAGCCGATGGCGGTCCAGCAGGACCAGGGGGTCGCGAGAGCACGCCGCACCTCTCGGACGGACGCAGGCAGCGCACGTGCTGCATCTGCGTCAATGCCCATGCGCCCGCGCGCCAGAGCCGCGTGCTGCGTTGGCTTGCACACAGCTCTGTCGAGCGGTTTCTCGATGGTGCCCGACGGCGAGACGTATGGCTGCCGAATACGCGACATCCACAGGGGCAGAAGATATGGGTTCCACGACATCAATCCCACGGGAATTATCGAAGATAGGCTCCTATTTTACCTGGTTGTTGACTTCTCCCGTTCTCCATGCTCGTCGCGCTGGGCTGCCCGACCAGACTGGACCAGACGCCCTGGACCGCCGAGGAGTCTGATATTCCAGTATATTGTCCAATTTGTCAATAATGTTGAGAGTAATACATCCACAATTAAGCCTTTGTTAATTCATTTGAGCATTCAATTCAGTGGCTCGATATCTCTAATTTTTGCAATCCATCTTTTTGTTGTCATTGTTGCAGTGCAGAACATGAGGATTTGGAGACGATCCTAATGTGAGTTTACCGAACAACCGAATATTTAGTCCCTTGTAATTTATTTTCTTTCATGGGCATGATGCAGTAGTGTAATTTAGAGCAACAATTTAGATAGCAAGTGATAATGCAATAGTATGGTTGGAAATTAATTAATCCTGGTTCTTTCATCATGATATAGAGTGCTTTGAGAAAAGAAAACGAGTGACTTTGAGAAAAGACCCATTACTGCTTTGAGAGAAAAAAACAGGAAAATGTTCTTTACTTCTTTCGATTGTTATTTCACCTAATAACACTGTAGTATTCTTTGAGATAACTGTAGCAGCGGGACACTGTAGCTGCGGGATTTTAGTCCACGTCGGACCCAGAGGAGGTGCCGAACCACGAACCAGCTTAAAAGTCTGGACTTGGGAGGGAATGAACTCCGATTCGAACCTTTTACGCGAAGCGAAGATGAAAGCGCAAGAGAGTTAATTAGCAGGTGTGATCCATTTAACGT